CCTTGTCCGAATCATTGATAAAGATGTTAAAGAGGAGCAGCCCCAGTACCAAGCCCCAGGGGACACCACTTGTGACTGGCCGCCAACTGGATTTAACTCCATTGACCACAAAATACTTATCTCTTGTTACCTTCGCAAAAGGATGACGGAACCAATATTGAGATGCTACTCTATTTGTACACTTCCCAGGCCGAAGCCATGCAAAACATCATCTCTACCCACAAAATGAAGTTTTTCTTAAGGGACTTTGGGCAGAAGCATTTTTTTATGTACACAGACTGAGATAGTAAAATAAGCATCTAGCAAAATTTATACATATGAGTATGTAAGCAAAATGGGATGTCTAAGCTACAAATTGTCACTAAATGAACACTAATTTAGGTGGTGATAAGAGTCCATAATCACGTATTTAAAAATACACCAAGTATTTTTTTTTCTTCTGTTTAGACACAAATTGAAACAGAGAAGTGAGCCTACAGCTTTATGATGGTCATGTATAATGCAGGCACGATTTCTTTCAAATAATCTTCACCATATAGAGTCAGATCTGAATCTAGTATGCTCCTTATTTTCAATATTATTCTGCTACAGGACAAAGAACTCTGAAATGACCTTTGGCATAGCACCGAGTGAATGATGTATCTCAATTTAGAATCATAATTTATTTCACTGGCATTTAGTTAATATATTTTTTACTCCTGAAAGTATACTTCTACCCCCATTTCTTAAATTCTTTAGCAATTCATTATATGAAGGACAAAGGCATACACACACTCAGAGAAATGTGTTTCTGTACCCAATCAGGTGTTCTGTAATGGGAGAAAGAGGCAGCTAATTCTCTGTTTTGGAACCAAGGTCAGTAGCAAGACGTTAAGACTAGAAAGATAAGGGAGCAACAGTTTTTAAGAGCAAAATGTTTCACCATTCAATACCATAGTTTTACTACATGTTTTCTTTATAACTATTTCTTCATATCTCCCTATATCAAATGGTTACTCAGGCAATGAGTCTGTAAGAATGACTCAAACTATTCCCCAACAATTAATTGCTGCAGATGAACAAGGATTTGTTCAATTTAAGGAGGCTGTATGCTATTACAACTCAATAGGTCTGAAATAAAGTTTAAACAAACAAAATTCTGGAGCTTGGAATAGCTCATATTCTTCTACTACCGCAGTTAAGATAAACCTAGAAAATCCCATACTGAAGGATCACTAATTGCTCTAACTTTTCTAGTTCTCTCAGGAATTATAATGCCTCATTAAGCTTTTTAAATGAATAGAGGCTGACTTTGCATTGTCTGCACAGACATACTGCACAGCTACAATCCAGGAAGACTGTGCCATCTCCAGCCTTTACAAAATCAGTTGATGGAAACAGGCCAGGAAAATCATTTTACAGAGGCACTGATTCAGGTTTTTACTCAAGTTTTTCCTCTCAAATCTGTCCCTTAAATATAGGGACGAGGCAATCAGGTACTTGCTTATTTATGATTGACATATTTCAGAATTGCAAGAGATAATGAAATAAAATATCATGGGGCCTCTGTTCATCTCTGTTTGAGATGAATTATCACTTTACTATATATCATGTACACGTAAAGCATTGTTGTTTCACGCTTTTTGCTCACTTATTAGCCTGGGTCTGTCTAAACTTCCACATACCTTTCCAAATCAAAGTTCTCAAGTTAAGACAGAACTTCATGACTAGTTTAATTGACCTAAACACTTCTTCACAAACTACAGCCTCATTCTTCTTTACCATTGAGATGCTTCCATTCCCTTCCTCAGGCTAAACCACCAGTTTTTTCTTATAGTTTTCACTTTCTGGCTGGATGGGATTACCTCATCCACCCCACCAGTCTCATACATAGCAATGCTCCCTTCAAGGAACAGGAGGGAAAATGCACCTTGTAGAACAAAGGCTGGCCATGTATTAAAGCTCATTCCCACCCACGCCCCCACCCACCCCCCCGAAAGGTGAAAGAAAAAAACACAAAACCAAAAAAAAACAGACAACCTCCATCATGGAGGTAGAAGTCAAATTGTATTTTATACTACTAGACTTAGGAAATATCATTCTGCTCTGTAATACAATCTGCACAGTCACTTTAAAATTTTAAGGTTTTATTTTTGTAGATGGTAGTTCCTGAACCTCACCCTGCCTCAGCTTCCTCAATCAGTGACAACCTGTATGAAAACCAGTATACTGTTCCACAGTTTGATACTCATGGCCATTCTACATTCATGTAGAGGTTTAGAAAAGGACAAGCTACATACAGAACAAGGAAAGTGCTTAAACATAGCAGCAATAGCTCTTCAAGCAGATTTAGACATTCTTGAAACTAATCTGCATAGGATTACATTGTCACTGACAGGACCCAAGTGATACTCATGTATTCAGAGGGAGTCCCAAAGCTTCAGAGTTTGGTATTCCTTCTGCTGTTGAACCTGAAAACTAAGAACAGGCAGCAGCACAATAGCTGTTTGTAAAAAAAAGTCTACCTCCACTGCCAGTTTCGCCAGTAAAGTAAGTATTTGAAGAACTAGCATTTGAACATAGGCCAGTCTTCTATGCCATACTAGACAGATTCAAGTATTGGCCTTTTTTTGCCCATTAGTGACAAATGGCGTTCTATATTGCATAGGCTCAGTAAACTTACAGTTGCAGCCAAGTGAACATGACATTGCATCTTGTTTAACATGTCATCAAGATTTATCATGTTTTGATCTAGTCCAGAAGCATCAAATAAACAGGCTATGCACATGCCACTGGCTAGTTAATGGATTTGTGCATCTATAATTAAAGTTTAGAAATACTGTATACTGGAGATTAAACAGCTTATAAAAATTGAGTTTACAGTCTAGATAAAATTGTTCTTTAAGCAGCTGAACAGGATTATGGTAGTTCTAGGTTAGCTAGAAAGGTTAACAAACAAGCCATCAAGCAAGGAACATTGATGATGTACACCTTCCTTTCTGAAGTGCTACAGGCTTTCAACAAAAATTAAAGTAGCAATCAAGCTTCAGGTGTCAAGTAGATCTGGACAAGCCTAGTGGACACATTCTTTACAGTGGTGCATAGTAGCAGGACAAGAGACCATGGACATAAGTTGAAGTTAGAAAGGTTCAGACTAGATAAACTCTAAGACAACAGTCAGGCATTGAAACAACTTTCCCAGGGCTGTACAGTCTCCACTGTTGAAAGTTTAAGACCAGACCACATGAAAGCCTAAGCACCCTGGTATGATCTTGCTTAGAGAAGGATGTTGGCTTAGAAGACTTCCCAAGAATGTTTCGTCTGAATTATCTTATGATTCTTAAGCTAGTTAAACCCAGTTTTAGCTTATGCCAAGCCTTACTGTGCTAATTTAAAATAAGCCTTTAACATAGCAGCCTGTAGAAGATAAAAGTTGTTTTCAAATGTCAATGAAAGCATTTGTGTATAGGGTAGGACACATGATGTGAAGATTCATGTTCTCAAAAGCACACACCAACAACATAAGATGCCCAAATATATTTATTTGTCTCTTAAAAAGTAGGTTACTCTTTAGAAAAAAAAAAGACAGCCTAGGAAATCTCAATACAGATTAAAGTATATTCAATCTAGCACATATTTCATGCTGACCTTTAAGTAAACATCAGCACAATCAGACCAAGCAAGATAAGACTTCTTATGTCAGCAGCAGTGAGGTACCAGGACAGAAGAAACACTTAGAATAAAGAGGAGCTTCAAAGCCTTTCAGCCAAGCAGAGCCCAAGTTCCAGAATGCATTCAAGAACCATGAAATCTCTCTAATCCTTTTGATCTTCATTTGCTGCCAAAAATACATATGAATTATAACAAGGAAACATAAGCATCTCACTATACAGAGTTACAAAGTGGTAAGCCAGTTCGCCAGCTCTGAGCAGCCAGAAGTGCAGCACTGTTTTAAAACTGAAAAAGATAGAGCTGGGGAGGGTGGTGTGTCAATAGGCTAGCAAGTACCAGGTTAAGCTATTTCCTTCAAGACCTCCCTCCTTCCTCATTGTATTCAGAACCATTTCAAGACAGAAGGAAAAAGCAGCAAGTTCATTATCACAGGACAGCAAGACAGATACTTTTTACACTCTTGGTAAAGTTTTCGGTGTTAGTGCATGAAAAAGTTACTGAATGGTTATTTCTGGATGTGCATATGGATGAGGTTACCATAACTATGTGCCAGCAACACAACTGTATTCATTAATGTGTTCCATATGTAAAGTATTAGCTGAAAATATCCTGCCTTAAAAGGCTGGAGATGCAGTTTTGTTAGTATCTCTATAACCATGCCTTTCCCCATTAGGTACAATCATTTAGTCATCTTGTTCTTACTCAGTGGTAAAAGCCATCTACTTCACTCAGTCCTAGTGAACACACTAAGAAAGATACCTCCCATCTGTCATTGACCCCTTCAAGATTTGTGGGATGTCTTGATCCAGGAGAGCCAGCAATGAGACAGGTCTTTGTAGTGAGGGATAATAAATAGGGACAAGTGTGTAGGTGAGGGGGCTAAAGTGGGACATTCCTGATGACAAAGGAAAAGTTTACTTTAAAGGTGCAAGTGTCTGTTCAGCTAAAACCATGATGAATGAGTCCTATTTGGAATGTAGCATATGTCCTAGAAGCAAACTAGACACTGAATGTTGTCTTTGATCCTTTCTAAAAGTGTAAACACTACCTTATGTTCTCAAGTAAGAAGATACTAATCAGATTTAGGTGTAGCCACTCAAGAAAGTGGAGTGATAACGCAAGATACTCAGTTTCATGCTAAACAAGAATATGTAAACACCCACAAGAATCACCTATTCAGATAATACCAGACACCCCATATGGATTGTCACAATGCAGCACCATAGCAGCAGTTTGATTTAAGGAACAGTCTCGCTGCTTATCCCATCACATTTACTGAACAGTGGTAGCTTTAGCAGCACTGTGATTTACTCTCTGCTTTCAATGGGTCTAGGTCCAGTTTTGGTTTCCCCACATCATTCTCTTCATTAGGAAAGGTTTTGTAGTTGGCAAGGATGTTTTCCACCAAGAATCGAGCAGCTTCATCTATGTTGATGTTGTCCTAAAAAATGTTGAAAGCAAAGTAGTCAGTGATTTACTTGAAATAGTCACACAATCCTATTAGAAGCTGACCAAATACAAAAAAACCCCACCCAGATTCTTCTACAGTCTCATCAGGATGACAAACACCTTAGATGCATCAGGTCATTGGTCATACACTTGCTTTTTGAAAAAAGTTAACAGAAAGGTTTGAGGCAAAGTTATTCACCCCTATTACAAATATGATACTTTGACTCTAGTCTAGTAGGCAGGTGGGGGATAAGTGTCACCTGCATTTGGAAGACTCATAAGTGCTAAAAGTGAGTTTCTGCATCAGGAAAGATAACAGGCAATTACACCGTTCATAGTAGTGTTCTACCTTTCGGGACCTTTTTCTGCTTCTGCTGCAGTTTGGATGCGCTTATTTATGTAAAAAGACCTTTTCTATCAGCTGCAAAACCCCGGCTAAATCAGGGTGCCTCATCTAGCCACTCTGCATTTTCTTGAGCATGCTTTGAAAAGTACCCTCACCTACACTCTAAAGAAGGTGTGTATGCAGGATACCCTGATGAAATACATCTCTAGGCATCTCAGTTATTGAGGGGCCAAGCTGGCCAGTGCCAAGGGGCCTTTGGCCACAGCTTTGACCTGGCTGGGCCACCTGTTAGCTCACCACAGGGCTACCACATTTGGAATTGCTCATCTTTGATTCCAAAACAAATACCACCCCCATACACTCTTCCGCCTCTAAATGTAGATCTAAACTCTACAGAAGCAAGGTTAGAGCATAAGAATATTTGACCCATCACTACTGCACTTCACAAGCTTGTGGTTGTCAGTCACAAACTGCATTCGGAAGTTTGCAGATAGGCACTTTTCCCTGCCCAGAGGGGAGGAGGATTCTCCTCATTTTAGTGTAAGGATGTTCATAAGATATTTCTATGAATAATTGTACTCTCTGCAGTTCTTTTGCCTTTAATATTCTCCCTAATCCACAGGGAGTGGGACCTATATTAATGATGACTAGACTAAAGGTTCAAGTATCAGTTCCAGCAGAAAGGCAAAAGGAGATTATCAGGATATTTAAGCAGGCAGGACTTAAAACCATAAACTGATTTGGTATGCTTAGAAAACAAGAAAGCTGTCCTGTATTTTTGCTAAGCTTTTTTAGCTACACCTCTTCAGAGTCCTAAACAAGTCGGTTCATAACTGAACTAGGACTAATATTGTCTGGACATCTTTCTGCACCAAGAACCTTGTTTTACATTGTCAGGTCTTAAATGCCACGTAAAATGTGAGCTGTTACTACTCTTCCATGTTAGATTTTGTTCCAGTGCTACTTGCATTTAATTTTTTACCCATGCTGAAGTTTATACATTGCAGTGTCATGGGCAGGTGAAGCTTCAGGGAAGATTTAATCCAAAGCAGAATCTTGATATTCTTTTTGAATATAAAGAACCATAAAATGTAGGTTTTTAGTAATAAATGGGTGGGTTTCAGAATTATTTGTTCCAATGCAAACAATGAGCTCATTTAATTTCTGACACTGTGTACCCTTTCTTCCGTATTTTAAAAGGATCAGGAAGAGGTTTGTTACTTTATTTCTTATATTCATCTTACAGACTTTTTTCTTTAAAAGCATTGTCTAAGGATCATTTTGTGCCAGTTCAGCAGCAGCAGTTAAAGGAAGTAGGCAAGACAAGAGAAAAGAGGGACTTTGAGGTTTAGTTTACCATATAAAGGAGTTATCAGCCAGACTACTAATTTGGTCTGCCAGACACATTGCCTTCATCTAGAGGAACCTTTCATTTTAAGGATCAATTGAGTTAAGGAACTGCTGGATTTCACTTCCAACTAAGCTACCACAAGCTTATCTGTGCATTGACTAAACCTGTAGACTAAAAGTGTACAATATATGAAGCTATTCAAAGTTATCTGTTTGAATAAAGCAGCCATCTATCTTAGCTTAAATTACTATACAGAACAATTTGTTATTCTCCAGTTCAGTCTTGACACTGCCTGGTAAGATAGAAAAGTGCTTTAGTGACAATAACATCTGGGTAGGTAGTATCAAGTGAGCAAATAGCTTGTTCCCTTCTCAAGTCTACCACTTCCTACATGCAACAGTGAAGACAGAAGCTGCAATTTAAGAACTTGCACCTAAAGCTTACTTGTATTTTTTGATAGTTTCATCAGCATTTAGTAGTATTAACAGCTAAATAATTACTCCGATCCTGATGCATGGAGGATAAAAACCCAACTCAAACTCAGTTAATCAAGGTTTCTAGTTAGTTTTAAGGTTCTGAGTTTAAGATGCAGTTCTAATCTAAACCAAATATGCCTCAAGTCTTCACCAGGAGCAAACCACTGCAAAACAAAGCCTGCATACCACTTCCAACTTTTCCTGAATACTGGAGACTGGACTGTCACTTCCTATACCTGATAATTTTATTCCCCATGTGACTATATTCGTTCATTCTTATGCCAATACTTAGAGGAGTTAAAGCATCTTATTTATGCTCACCTTGGCAGATGTTTCAAACCATCCAACAAAACCACCTTCTCTGCAGAACTGGTCCATTTGAGAGGGATTATGGCTGCCGTCTTTCTTCTGGTCACACTTGTTTGCAAGAAGAACAGCAGGGATGGGGCTGCCATTGGGAAGTAATACTTTACTGTCCAAATCATGCTTCCATTTTGAAACAGCCTCAAAAGTGGAGCCTCTTGTGACATCAAAGACCACAAAAGCACCAACTGCCTCTTTGTAGTATACTCTGGTCATATTTCCAAAGCGCTCCTGGCCTGGAAGAGAGGACAATGATAGAGTATATTCATATTTAAGCATGAACTGCAGTCAATGTAAATGGACTTCTGTACCAGGTTAGTACATACAAGTTTGCATTCGGGTCTAGTCACCTAGTTCATACAACATTGCCTCTTCTATCCTAATGTAAGCTGATTTTAACAGCCGTTACGTATATTACACACGACAAGTCAGATGCTAAAAGCAGTTTGCAATCCCAAACTCTTTGTTTGGGGTTTTTTAAACTTCTTTGTTGAGCACTGTTCTTTGAGAGGTAATGCCTAAAAACGCATAGCTATACACAAATCATTTCATCAAAAAAGCTTCTGCAAAATTTAGATACAAATCTAGTTACTTCAGCTAGAGAAAGAAGGAAAATCAGAGGCTTTCTGAAGGGTGAGCAATGGGGGTTTCTACAAGCTCCAAGGCTAACAGCAACTTCTAAAGAAGTCGTACCTATATTACACATTTTTTCCTTAGGGACAAGCTCAAAAGGAGCTAGTTTAACAGTTCTAGCTAAACTTGTTATCTTGTACTTCATCTTTTAAGTCTAAGGCCTTCTCTGGAATATTTTCTCACTATAGGAGTTCTACAGCAATCACAGGTTTTGAAACAAGATTATCAGAATAGTTGAGTACAATTATTCATACCAAAAATCCAGAAGAAAACCAACAGTCAATGAGCATTGTAAACAAAAAAAAAAGGCTTTTCTTATTAAGTGCAACAATTGTAGTCAGTATACTTGAAAGGTAGAGTTAAGACTGCCAGTTCAGTTATTCTTCTGTTTGCAAGGTCAGACCATCATGCTGTGTTTGTACTTGAGTACACACAGCAGTGTCAAATGCTAGCATGTTGCTTGGGATGTTGAGGCTACTAAAATAGTTTTCTGCTTTGTTTGGAAATCTTCATTGGGAAAAGCAGTCCCTGCACTTTATAATTTAGTTTTACAGTGTATCATCACTTCAGCTTTTAGCATTTAGTGCATATGTGGGTTTGGAATAAGAGAAAGTAAGAATTTTAACTGGAAACAGTTGTCCTCTGTTTATAAACATTCAAGTCTGTCTTTGATTAGCAAGAACAAACAGTTACAAGGAGAACTGGCTATTATCATCTTCTCAGAAAGAGCCAGAAATTCATTAGATGAAGGAACTTGACAAGGGATCCTGTTCAACAGCATGCTTTTCTAGCTCAATTGCCTCGTTTCAACATCAGTACTTCTGTGTACTGATTAGTTCATTCCCTACAGACGTTTTCAGAAAAGGTTGACTAAGCAGCTGTTAGAATTGCCTGAAAGCAGCAGCAGTTCTCCGGAACTTCACTGTAGCTATGAAGCACTATGAAGCTGACTATTTCTGGCTGTTCATCTTTAAAGTATGATGCTGCATAAAACAGCATCACTAGCCAGTACATTCCGAGGAGTAGAAATTACACATGAATTTCTTCACTACCAGCTCATTATCCCCTGTGTGAGAACAAAGAGCATGCAAGAGGAAAGCTCTTCCCTCCATATTCAAAGCTCAAGTTTTGAAGCAGCGTTTATGCCATGGACTCTCAGGCCAACAAGCCAGGCACCAAGCTTGCATCTCTGTGACTGCCACTGGAAGAGACAAATTGCTGATACAAGTCCCCTAAACAGCATACACAACTTATATACAAGTAACTCACATTTTCTCCCTAGGCTTTTCCAGGCTGGATTCTTATGCATAAAAGGTTGGTTTTGTGTAGCCTTACTTACTATACATTTTTGTATCATGTGCTCACTGTTCTCATGAATCAATTACCATTAGGAAAGTTTGGCCAGAAGGCTTTGACTACTTCTGCAGATTACTTGTGTCACATATAGAGAAGCTTTACCTTTAGATTGGGGGTATTGTGGGTTTTGAGTTTGTTTTTTTTTTTAAATGGAGCTGCACAGGGTCAAATTTAGTTATATTAAGCCAGTCACTGCATATGTCACCACACAAGCTATGAGGAGCTCCTTCTCAGATACCCCATCTGTTTAGCTGTCAGCCTCACCGTTGATTCCTGTTACATGGGAACACCTCCAACTGTGCTAAAGCACCAAGTCTTGTGTCCAATTCGGTAGTATATCCATTCACACCATAGGACAGGCCCACCAAATAAGTGTCATCTCAAGGTCTACAGTTCTCTGTACCAACCTCAGTCTTCTACAGAAAGATTTCTTCTGTTTGACTCTGAAACGGTCTAGAAGTGAACACCTATTGCTGTTATTTCCATAAGAATCTGAAGCAGCGAGGGGAACAGTCCCATTAGTCCTCCCTATTCAGTTGCTGGAGATCTGTGGAGATTTCAGTCTTTTTTTAAATTAGGGCTACAAGTTTTTCCAAAAAACTTGATGGACATTTACATAAGAAATTTAAGTTGTACTGAATAGTTGCAGAAAGGGTTGCTAGACTGTTACAAACAAGAAGTAAGGACAGCATAATCAGTACATATGAGAATGAAGTTGTTTGAGAATTGCAGAAAAAGTTATCAGGCAGTTCCCATTTCTCAGATAGCTGTGCATGCTGTAGGTAAACATGGCTGCGATCTGTTACCACAGTGAAGGACATTACTATTGACTGAATCCCTTCCTGCCTACTGCCCTCCCATCCAAAAAAGCTTTAAAGATAAAGAACATTTAGCAAGAAGGCCATACCAGCCTCCTATAGCAATAACCCTTGCTGGACCGTGCACAACACAGTGCATTTAAGGTGTATAAAAGAGATTGAATTACTACAGCATCACTTATAGCTTCCAAAGAAAAGAAACAGTTATAAAGTATGTATCATGACAAAACTTGAAGAGTCCTAAACACCACCAAATGTTTTTTCTTAAAGAAATAACAGGAGGCCTAGCCTTGGCCAGAAAGTCTGATCCTCACTCAGATAACTGTCAATTCCATTTCCAAGAGAATTACCATCATCTTAGCATAGTCAGTCTTCCCCACCCACCTGGCCCAGTGAGCTGGAGAGCTGCACTGACTGGTAATCAACCAAGATTGCCTGGCAGTTGGTTCCTTGACATTGGTGACTTATCATGCCCCAGTATCCCCCAGCCTACATGAAACGTTAACACCATACAGCTTCTTGCCAGATGTGCTATCCCAGAAAGGCAACAATGGTCTTGTAGTGGAGCAGCAGGCTATCTGAAACCCCTCATGGGGTCTTGACCAGGAGAGAAGGCACTGCAAGTGGGATTGTGCTAACTGGCAGATTCAGGAGCTCTGGAATAATGCAGAAGCCAAGATTAGCTTTGTACAGTGGCTTTTCCCATTGTGTGAGAAGACAGCAGTTCTGGTAGGAACATAAACCTGCATTGAACTATACTCTACTTTGTACTCTACAGCAGTCACTTAGAAGGCATGGGCTTCAGCTGCCTGGAGCAATCATTTAAATATTATTTCTAGCTGGCTTTATTGATGGAAGTCAAAATTTTTGCTCTTACAGTGCAAGTTTTAAATTTGGAAAACCATTAATACATATTCTTCTGTAATATAAATTTGGGTGAAAGTAGACAACTGATGTGCATATCAGCATAAAAGTTTTATCTTTACTTATTAGATTTAAGCTTTACATTAGGAGGATTTGAAACACCTTACCCCTAAATACACACAGAAGCTCAACATCACTGTAGTATTAAAGATTAATGTTTTTTAATAGGTCAAATACACTCCAGTATGAATGCTGCCCTTTTCTAAAGTAGCCCAAGCTCCAAAACAGTTCATTACACAGAGCTGCTTTCACCTCTAATTCACATCCACTAATGATAAACCTGACCTGCATACTAGCTTACAACTGCTTTTTCATCCTGTCTGGAGGCCTAAGGAGGATGGATGCATTCTTTTTATTCCATAGAAAGAAGATAGAAGCAGTAATACATGACTTGCCTAAGAGGTAAGAGATTTTTTGTGGTAAAAGGTATCCAGCACGAGGCAGGAAGAGAATTCAGTATAAACACAGCAGACTTTCTTTACAATACTGATATTACTGACAATGCATATGCTGATCTTCTTGTCAGGGATGTAGAGCATTCTAGACAGCCTTTTGAAAATTTAACAGGTCTTTCGGGCAAAGATTTTGCAGATGCTTTGCTGCTTGCAAAAACTCATACAGAAAAAGCAAACTGTAGAACACACTACTCCTCTAAAGTCTGGGGTCTGTATATCATTCTCTATTTATGTTATTAAAACTAAATGACTCAATTTTTGCAATGCTCAGTTCAGCCAGCAATTTTTCATTCCTTTTCCGATGTCCAGCAGAATTTTTGCTGTAGTCGTTTCACCATGTGCGAGAACAGTGTTGAGCAGTGTAGAAAGTGGATCATACCCCCAGAGGGGGAAAAGTCTAAAAGTGATCAGATGAAACTAGGCTTAAAATCTCCAGTGTGTGTAACCATGGAAGGAAGAGGACAGGAAGATAACTGCTTGCTTGCTACAGCAGTATGGAAAGGACTTCTTAGGATTAATCATTCTGGTAGGCCTACTGCCTTGACAGAAGTGGAACCTGATGGTACCACAAAGGTATACTTTCTCTGTGTTTTAGGGGTCAGGTGTAGAGGAGGAGCTAAGCTACAGGGCAGTCATGGGGATCAGAGGTTTTGTTTGGGGGTATGGAAATGGCTGCATGCAATGCAGAGTTCTGCATTCTCTAACCACAAAGTTTTCACATCTAAACGACTCTGCACATATCGTCACCATATTTTCCAGTAACTGTAACAACATTAAGTGAAATACTTGCATAATGTCATGCATCAGGACTCAATACAGTTCCCTACAGCGGCGTCACAGGAATTAAGTTTAGTTTAAAACTGTATCTGAGCTTGGGAGCTACTCTTGCTTCCTGTTTAATTTGTAACAAGGGTAAACTGTAAGCTAAAAACTACATTAAAAAAATTATAGCCAGGTCTGAAATTAGAATCTTTATCTTTGTCCTTTACTTCGTGACAAAAGATAAGTTATCATTGTAATATTTGGACAGTGCCAACCTTGCCTTGAAGT